CAGGTGGTACCTGTACCACTGGTTGAAAAGCCCTGGTCTAGTGAAGAGAAGGACCAGGGGAGACATGATAACAGTGTTCCAATATTTGAGGGGCTGTCACAGAGAGGAGGGGATCAACCTATTTTCCAAAGCACCTGAAGGCCAGACAAGGAATAATGGATGGAAATTGATCAAGGAGAGATTCAACCTAGAAATAAGGAGAAATTTTCTGACAGTGAGATCAACCAATGGAACACTTTTCCTCCAGATGTTGTGGGAGTTTCATCACTGAAAGTTTTCAAGAAGAGACTGCACTGCCATCTGTCAGAAATGGTGTAGGGTCTCTTGCTTGGGCGGAGGGGGGGTTGGACTAGATGACCTACAAGATCCCTTCCAACTCTTATTATTCTAATTCTAATTCTAAGGAAAAAGATAGGAAGTAGGATTTAATGCTGACATTCTATCCTTTTTCCTCCCAGCAAGATTGTTTTTGTTAGATTTACTGTATATTCCATTTTTTTAATATCAGTCATATCTGGTGACTATCTAGTTTCATGTGTTTAATATATTTTAATAAGAATGTATACTCATTAATAATATCTTTATTACTGTACTACACATATCTGCTACCTAGGGAGTCTGCCACATACAATGTTGGTGAGATGATGGAGACTGAGCCTGCATATGCTGACTTCATCAGCTGTGATCGGACTGGTCGGAGAAATGCAGTTCATGACCTTCAGGGAGATGCAGCTGCCATTAAATTGGAGAAACTAGCAAACACCATGGATATTTCTGTTGCAGATGAAGGTGAACTTCTTTGTTCATTCAGAGCTTTTCAAGGAGCAGTTATCATTCAGGAAGCTCAGATGTAAATGTTATAATTCATATTGTGCTTGTTTGAATGTTTATGCAATCTGTATATTATGCAATATCATATTTGCTGGCATGTCATTATCATGATTATTAGGTTTCTGAGCCAATCATTCAAATTCTAAGGAGCACGCCACATCTTCCTACCTTTATATAAAGAGCCTATTGTATCTTTTGTCACCTGTTCAGTGAAAGGTTCTGTTCCTCTGTGGTTTCTTTTGTCAGTATCCCTTCTTTGAGTAATATTATTCTATTCTTCCTTGTGATAATAATATATTGGTTTTTATCTTGTTAGATTTTTTTTCTGTGCCCAATATTTAAATCTTTTAAAACTAAGCAGTCTAATTCACATATCTTGTACTAGACTTCTCCCATTCCTATAAACTCATGTATGATAACAATTTGCACCAAGGAGGCAATTCAGTATCCAATCTCCACACTTACGAGAATTTCTAAATAAGAATTCTCTCTGTTTTGTAGATAAAAGTCCTATACTGAATTAGCCAGTTTGGAATAAAATACTTCTCCCAATGCAAATAATTGTAGGCAAATAACATTTATGTTCAATTTATTTTTACTGCATGCATTTATTAGATCAAAAAAAAAACTTCCACTTTTTTTTTTGGCAGCAAATCAAGGAAAGGAAGTTGCTTGTGAAAAGGACCCTGGACTGATTCCTGAAAGGAAGAATGATAGCTCAAACTTCTGATTTAGGATGCAGAAAGTGGAAGCCTGGATAACAACACTTGATAGGACTGTATATGCTAAGAAATCAAACTGCAACAGAAAGATCTTTACTTAGAGATCTCTTCAGAAGCCATCTGGATGTCATAGTCACTTTGTGCGGCAAGTAACTGGTACCTCCAGTTCTTTCTGTAATGCTACAAAATAAGATGTGTTCTGGTAACCTGAGCCACTTAGAGAGCCTTAAACAGCTATTTTCTGTACAGATAAACAACATTTCCATAATATGTACTTCAGATTTTATTGTAAAAGGTGCATTTTGTTCACTTAGTAAATTTAAACTATTTATTTCTATCTCTTGTAGATTTTTAGATGGTTTATTGTGTCCTCCACAATAAATATATCAAATCCCAGACCCAGTTGATCTTTTAAGCTGTGAACATGGGAATTATAGGATATAATATACCAGACATTTCACCAGTATGAACCTCATTAAATAATTGAGCTTAATGCTGGCAATAGTGCTCTTGTATTGCTCTAGTTCAATTCACCATATTCTGCTTTACACAATAATAGAGCAAAAGCTTATCAGATTTACAAATAATACAAATTTGGCGAGAAAGCTAATGCCCTAGAAGTCAGAAATAAAATTGAAGGTAAACTTGTCAGGGTAGAGAAATGGACTGGAAATAATAGAATTTAGTGAGACAAAAGCAAAATTCTTAGAGAAAAAGTGATCAAGTGCAGAGATTCAGGTGCACAACACTTGTCTGGGTAATATTACATAAGAAAACCTTAGATTACTATCTGAATACAAATAGTATGAGCCAGTAGTCCGATGTAGCTGCAAAAAAAGCAATTGTTGTTTTAGATTATATCAACAGAATCAAAATTTTTCATTGAAGAGAGTGCTACCTACCTGCTTCCAAATACTTTTTTGTAAAGTTAGACATTGTAGGAAAACAGCCAGGTTCGACTGTGGTAGCAAAAAATCAGGAGTCTGGTAGCATCTTTTCCAACTTACAATTTTTATTATGCACTCTATGCATTTAATAAAATGAGCCATAGCTTGTAAAAGCTTAAGCCTTATTAGAAAAAATGCTGTACTGTATATTATGTCACCGAGAGCAATACGAAAAATTTAGGCCTCTTCTTGCTTAATGGAAGATTTTTTTTGCTTCTTGTTTTACTAAAAACAATGAAACATCTATATATTTTCTAGTGAAAGTTGAAACAAAGACCCACACCCTCCTTTTCATTTATTTTTTTTAAGTTTAATTATTTTATTTGTAGAATTATAGCTGATTTTGGTTTGAGTGTTTTTTTTCTGATATGCCAGATAAAAATGAAATATACCTTTAAGTGATAATGGACTTTATTTCATTAAATGAAGAGTTATGTTCTGCTCTTTCCTCCAAATAATTCTGAAGATATATTGTGTTACACAGAAAGAACATGGATCACAACATTAAAACCATTTATAAGCTGTATAACGTTTTACTGGTACTACAAAAATATTAAAACAATTGTTTTATATAATCCTGAATATAGACGATATGCCCATTGACATTAAGAACATTTTACTTAACATTCATATAAACCAGTATTTACTGGCTTGCCGCTTTCTGAAATAAGTAGTATGCATAACCAAGTCTATACCTCGCACACATATGACACTAATGTAAAAACTATTCCTCAGAGACAAACTTTTGATGTTTAAAATTTCATTATTAGTAGTTACCAACAACATGGTATCACAAATATGTATGAGTTCTGCAGCACTGATTACAAACTTAAAAAAATATTACTAAATAAAATCAAATCACAACCATTTCTATAGACAAAATAAGTACTAACAATGTCAGTTTGTGTCTGGAGACAAGTTCTAACAAATTACAAGAAACACTACATACAGTAACTAATGAAAGATACAGAACAAATGATGAGAAATACAAGAAGGACTTGGATTTTATCTTTTAACCATCCGATCAGTCTTGTTGAGTTATATAAAAATATTACAAATTAAATGTTTTAAGTTCTGGCAGCAATGTTAGACTTCTACTTTTATTTATTTTTTCAAAACTTGGCTTAATTTTTCCAAGCAACCTCTATTATTCACTTATTCAGCACACTTTCATAATGTCCTAAGCACAAGTCCTCAGATCTAGAAATGTGAAACCCAGAAAGTAAGTAAAGTCATGTTTTGTTGATTGAGGGGGGAAAATGAAGCAAATTAATCTTAAGTGGCTAGATTTGTCTCTCTGAACTGAAATATGCTAAATGTGCAGCTGCTCCTGAAATAGCAGTTGAGTGTTTAGCTGCCACTTTCTCTTTATTATCAAGAATTACTATGCTTTGATGTTGCAACGGTTACTCACTTGCAACTTTCATGTTGTTGCTACTTACAAGGAATAGAGAAACAAGTAACAGTGTGATTTGCACATAAGACTTACTTGAGATCTAAGCCCTTAGAACTTGTATTTTGGGTTTTCTACAACAAAAAATGTAAATCAATCTAAGAGACAAATTTTATAATATACCAGCTTCAACCTTGAATGTGCAAGACTTTGACACTGTAATATAAAAACATGGATCTAAGTTCCTGAGTAGATAAATGGGGACTTCAAAGATAGCTTATTTTTTTTAAAAAAACAATTAAACATGCAAAATAAAAAAAGTTACAATTACTAAAGACATCTAGCATATTTATTTGGGAATGAGAATTCTTGGCTTTATATTGCTATGATTTAGACGTGCATTTGGTACTGTATTTTCCTGTTCAAACTACATATTTGGTTACAGCTTTCCTTAGATTTCAGTCAAAGTGAAGCACTTACACTTAAACCATTTTGTTTTTTCAGATTCCTTAGGGAAAAATTCCAGCAAAAAAGCCAGTTTGATACTAGCTATTTAGTCTAATTTTTTGGGTGTTAATCCAGTTAAAACAAGGTAACCATCAGATAATGTTACCTTTCTGTTAATCTCAACAATCAAAACAAAACAAAACAAGTGTCAGTATGCTTTAGTTAAATCACATAATTCCCAGTTAAACTAAACAGTATAGTACAGATAAGAAACAAGGCAAATGGCTCAGTAAATAGGTGGGAATAAAACTTTAAATCTGCATTTCTATAAAATCCTTATATGAATAGAAATTCTATAACATTCTGTTTTTAAAAATACTGTTTTTCCCATGGCACATCTCCAGCATAAGACATTTTAAGCAAGGCTGGTTTTTGAAGAGCAAATGTTGAATTAGCATTACAAGAATTTCTCTCATACAACTTTCTCTGGATCAAATATTCTATTTTTTCATGTTGATATCACTGAAATGAATGAAATGGGGGAAAAAATGAACTGCTATTTAATATAAGTAAAATAAAGTACAGAAATAAAATCAGTCTATAATCAAATGATAAGGTAACTTGTTTGTTTTTCTAAATATAATTTTCTAAAAAAAAAATCAATGGTAAAAATACTTATGATCTTTCTTCCTTTTTGATAATATAGGAGTGCACAGAAGACATCACTTGTAGATATATTAGTGAGGCAGATTATGTTTTTAAAAATGATTTTAAAAATGTCTGAGATAGGCTTTGTCTGTTGTTGCATATAAACAGTTCATTTGACCTGGAAAGTTTTGAAATAATAGATGGCCTGCAGACTTGGTTTACCTGAGATGGAACTTAAATGAATGTAATTGCAATAAATGTATTCCTATTTCCAACCTCTAGATATCTGAGCACCTTATATTCCATCTTTAAAAAAATAAAATGAAACTCACAGTAGCTACCATCATAAGAATACTGTTTTGTATATGCCCTGTTCTGTGGTTATTAAGAGTAAACAAGGTAGTAATACTAAGTTTGCACATTGTCTTCCAAGAAGCAAAATAAGCATAACATTGGTCAAGAAAAAAGCTGATGCCCGGTACAGAAGAGTTCAGAATTCTTTGCTTTTTACCATCCCATAGGCTTCATATAGCTTGTACAGAAGCTCCTTTTTATCTTGCTCTTTCAAGAAGCTGGACTTTGCTGCATTTATATTCTGAAAAAAGAAGAAGAAACTTGAAGGCATGCGTGATCATATTCCACTAATGTGGGCTATACCATTTTAATTAAATGGTTGACAATGTTGCTTTTATCTTTGAAAATGAAAAGAATGCGTTTTTACAAAAGTCTAAAATGGAGTTAACAAACATAAGGATGCCACAGATGGGTTTTTAGACAAGCACTTTTCCAATTTAAAGCTCACTCGAGGTTGCTCAAATACTGAGATAAATTTATATATATTAGGCCACATGCTACAGATTTGATTGCTTTTATATTGGGGCAAAGCAAATAAGCAACCCAGTACAAATTTATAGACTGATAATGTTCTTCAGAATCCAACCTGTTACTGCGATTACTGCTATCAAAGGTCATTTAAGCAATTAGAAGATTCACTGGCAATAGCCCAAAACAATAGAAAGCTTGAAAGTCCTATTACTCAGCAAAATGCTCTAAGGCTGCAGTAATGCAAACTCAATAACAGTGAGGTCATGGGATATTAAACTACATATTTTCCAATCATATTTTGGTTGAGCTGTGGTGGCACAATGGTTAGAATGCAGTACTGAGTGCTAATTCTGCTGACTGCCAACAGTCGATCCTGACCAGCTCAAGGGTGACTCAGCCTTTCATTCTTCCGAGCTTGGTAAAATGAGGACCCAGATTGTTGGGGGCAATATGCTGACTCTGTAAACTGCTTAGAGAGGGCTGTAAAGCACTGTGAAGTGGTATATAAGTCTAAGGGCTATTACTATTGCTATTTTAGCCTATTGTGTTCACAACACCTATGCATATGCTTATAGTTCAGTATGTGTACCAACCCAGAAACTTGAGTTAACTGATTTAATTCAAAGATATGGTGTTAACAAGTTACATCATTTAATTTTGCAAGCAATTAAATTGGGGTCAAACTTAGTTTTTCATCTATTGTAGAAAGCCATGTAAATTGCAAAGAGCCATGGAAGACATTGTATCAATAATTAATTTTCTTGCTGAAAAAACAATCCAATATACCAAAACAAAATGTCTGTGAATATGCACAGATTTGTGAGAAATAAGATTATGACTGCTAGGATAGAACAAAAATCTGAGGGTTATCAATGAAAATATTTTAAGGAAGCAAAAAAAAAAATTCAAACCATACACCAAGTAAAAAGACATGGAAAATGACCACAATAAAGTATAATATGTACTGAAATTAACAAGAAACAGTAGCTTATGAATGACCCTACATAATTTTATTAGCATTATTTTTTAATTAATTCCAATTTCTTAAGTATTTCAGATTAGGAATGCAGAGTGCAGAGAAGAGCAACAAAGATGATCAGGGGACTGGAGGCTAAAATATATAAAGAACGGTTGCTGGAATTGGGTATATTTAGTTTAATGAAAAGAATGACTAGGGGTGACATAATAGCAGTGTTCCAATATCTCAGGGGTTGCCACAAAGAAGAGGGAGTCAAGCTATTCTCCAAAGCACCTGAAGGCAGGACAAGAAGCAATCGACAGAAAGTAATCAAGGAGAGAAGCAATGTAGAACTAAGAAGAAATTTCCTGACAGAACAATTAATCAGTGGAACAACTTGCTTCCAGAAGCTGTGAACGCTCCAACACTGGAAGTTTTTAAGAAGAGATTGGACAACCATTTGTCTGAAATTGTATAGGATTTCCTGCTTGAGCAGGGGGTTGGACTAGAAGATCTCCAAGGTCTATTCCCATTCACATTCCATTCTATTCATAAATATATCCCAGACAGATGTAAGGGTTTTATTTTAATCGAAACTTTCAGTTGACAGAGTTTGTAAAAACATGCAGGTTCATATGGCATACGGAGATGGCTATTTACTAAGACACATCTTGCCAAAATGGGCATATAATTACATAAGAAGCCATTACCTGAAGGATGCATTTAAATGTTAATAAGAATATTAGCATTTTTCTACAAATGGAGTATGGTAAGATGTTCCTTCTGTTCTCCACAGTAAGGTCTTGATGTGACCACCATGTTTGAAGCCTATATTTCCATTTCTAAAAACCTTGAAAAGATTAACCATGTCTATGCCTATAATTTCAATTTATTTGGAAGATTTTACTTTAACACAAATTGATCAAAACAAGCTGTACATTACAAGGGCAAAATATTGTCAATATGAAAAGCAGACCAACTTACCAATTTCATGAATTCCCCTTCTGTAAATTTCATGTGATCCCGAGCTATTCTGTAGTCTGTGTCAATCGTAGATCTGAAAATGAGTGGATCATCTGAATTCAAGGAATAATTTGCACCATCCTTCATAAATCTGGAAAGACAAAAATGGAAGAGTTAAATGATTTATTATCTATGNAGGTGAGTTTTAAATAGGGACAATTTTTAAACAATTTTAAAGAGCCACAGCTACTAATATTTGGATTTTAATTGGTTTTTAGCAGGGGAAAATTTCTTTTTGTACAATGTTTTAATATGCTGTGAGCCGCCCTGAGTCCCATGGGGAGAAGGGCGGCATATAAATTTAAATATAAATAAATAAATAAATAAATAAATATTTAGTTTAATGAAAAGAATGACTAGGGGTGACATAATAGCAGTGTTCCAATATCTCAGGGGTTGCCACAAAGAAGAGGGAGTCAAGCTATTCTCCAAAGCACCTGAAGGCAGGACAAGAAGCAATCGACAGAAAGTAATCAAGGAGAGAAGCAACGTAGAACTAAGAAGAAATTTCCTGACAGAACAATTAATCAGTGGAACAACTTGCTTCCAGAAGCTGTGAACGCTCCAACACTGGAAGTTTTTAAGAAGAGATTGGACAACCATTTGTCTGAAATTGTATAGGATTTCCTGCTTGAGCAGGGGGTTGGACTAGAAGATCTCCAAGGTCTATTCCCATTCCCATTCCATTCTATTCATAAATATATCCCAGACAGATGTAAGGGTTTTATTTTAATTGAAACTTTCAGTTGACAGAGTTTGTAAAAACATGCAGGTTCATATGGCATACGGAGATGGCTATTTACTAAGACACATCTTGCCAAAATGGGCATATAATTACATAAGAAGCCATTACCTGAAGGATGCATTTAAATGTTAATAAGAATATTAGCATTTTTCTACAAATGGAGTATGGTAAGATGTTCCTTCTGTTCTCCACAGTAAGGTCTTGATGTGACCACCATGTTTGAAGCCTATATTTCCATTTCTAAAAACCTTGAAAAGATTAACCATGTCTATGCCTATAATTTCAATTTATTTGGAAGATTTTACTTTAACACAAATTGATCAAAACAAGCTGTACATTACAAGGGCAAAATATTGCCAATATGAAAAGCAGACCAACTTACCAATTTCATGAATTCCCCTTCTGTAAATTTCATGTGATCCCGAGCTATTCTGTAGTCTGTGTCAATCGTAGATCTGAAAATGAGTGGATCATCTGAATTCAAGGAATAATTTGCACCATCCTTCATAAATCTGGAAAGACAAAAATGGAAGAGTTAAATGATTTATTATCTATGGGCAGAAATATAGAATAGCCAGCTTTCCTACTGCATTTTGTTACACATTTACCAAAATCTAAAATGGTGCTGCTAGCTTTTCAAAATATGTTATAACAGAGTTTAGTGCAAATTCAAAAAGTAATCCAAAGGAACCATAAGTGAGCTGAAGTATGATTTATTTGAAATAGCAACAAAACTTACCTTATTACAGGATGTTCTTCGAAGCTGGTTTTACATGCTCCAGTGAGATGACTGGACCAAGGACAGAGCTATATATTAAAGCACAGAGAAAATAAAGATACTCAATATAGATTTCATTTAAAGTGTTTATGTGAATAAATATTTATTAAAATAATAAATTGAAAATGCTACTTCAGAAAGAATATGTTTTCTATAAAAAGCTCATAACAGCTGAGAGTAATTCAGACCAAATAATCTATTTTTCTTCCTTATAAAATTATGTGAACTTCATGTAAAGTGTACATATGAACTGAAAAATGCACATGATGCATTTGTTATTATTAATCTGTACCTCTACAGTCAATTTCTACAGTTTCTTCATAGAAAGATTATGGAGTAAACTACAGCTATCAAATTAAGAATGAATTGTTGTCAGTTGAAAAAGAATAATTAAATGCCAGTTAAACAATAGTTAATTCAAAGATTTGAGATCATTCAGATACAGACCAAGAACCAAATCATGTTTGTCAAAAGAATTCATTTACACTTTTTATTTACAGTAAAATGCAATAGTATGGATGTGACAGCCTTCTTATCATTCTAGTTATATATGATGGCTCTAACCATCATATATAGATTTGTCTCTTGGAATAAACTTTAAACATTGATATACTTCAGTGATATTCCCAAAAGCAAAACAAAGACATGAAATGCTTAGAGGTTTTCTTTTTTTAAAAAAATGCTTCATTAAGCAATTAAGTTTACACATACGACAGTATATTTATAACCTGCACTGTGACAAATAAGGATCAGGCTTGCATTATGTATATCTTGTAATGTACAGTTGCATCCAAACGTTTACACATGCCTGTCAAGTTGTACACTTCAATGAATCCCTAAATGAACAGAAACTGACATACCCTTTACATTAATACTGTATACAATGGGACCTTGGTATTCAACTGCTTTGAAACTCATCAAATTTGGTACTCAGTGCATTTTGATGTGAAAATGTTGTCCCGATACTCCTAGTTTCTTTAGTACTCGACGCACAAGTTAGAATTGGTCGGTGTCAGCTACCCTATGACTCACTACATTATTGTTCGGTGTCAGCTACCCTATGACTCACTACATTATTGTTTATGAGAAAAAATTGTTTGCTACTCATTGTTTTGGTATTCATTGCACCTTCCAGAATCAATTAACAATAAGTACAGAGGTACCACTGTAGAATTAAATGCAACATACTTTGCATTTTCTGTGCAATTTTTTTCCTGTAGCTTACTGCAGAGCTAACAAATCAATTGCCTTTGGGCGCCTTAAAAATATTATAATTAAAAAGAAAAAAAAGTGTATTCACCTGGAACAATGTCCAAATTTGTCCACTTGCCATTTTCACTATTTCCTTATTTTTTCTTATTTCTTATTTGTCCACAAATAAAGAGTGGATTGTGAAACTAATGGAACGGGCAAAGATGACAGAACTGACTACTTTGATGAAAGATAAAAGTTTATTTAGCTTTGTTTCTACCTGGAGACCATTTTTGAATTTTTTACTTTAGAAAGATAAAAATGAAGTTTTAGTTTTAGGATTTGATAATTAGATTTGTTATGATTATAGAAATATTGATAATTATAATTATTAGATATATAATGGCAAGTCTAGAACAAAACTGGCTGCAACCATCTTGCTCTTTCTAGGTTGCCACAAGAATGGGAGGGGGTGCTGAGGATTTCTGCTAGTCTAAACATTTTACTGTTCCATGGGAACCAAAGTTCAGTTAGGTGGGGGCATGAGCATTTGATTAGAAAGCCCACCAAACTATTCTATTGGGGAACATAGCTGATACATAGCATTGGGGTTGGAAGTTTAACTTTGTAATAGTGTTTCTCTTTGGAGGAGATTTCAGACTTGGTTTCACTTTTGACCGTGGCTATACTACGTAACCAATAAGCATGTTCTTGATGAAATCTCTAGCCTCGGAGTTCTGATTTGTTTGGTCTCATCTATCAGAACTTGACATATAGATTGTATATTTTTAAGGTTTATGCTTAAATTTAGCATAAGAATTTATTTTGTTGGATAATTTAGTTTGGATAATTTAGTTTCTATACTGTTTATATGATGTTTTTGTTATAATTTAGAGTTAAGAGGTTACTCTATTATATATTTGTACTGAAGAAAGTTGGAAATCATTTTTTCCTGTTCTTTTTCTTTTGTCACTTTTTAATTTCTTCCCCTTTAATCCCCTCCCCTTTCTTTTAATGTTTTCTTTTTTAATTTGTACTTTATCTTTTTTTGAAACTTAATAAAGTTGCTGTAAAAAACATTACAGGCTTGGAGGGTTTTTCTTTTAGGAAGACTGATGATATGCATGCTCTATTGCAAAATAAAGTTCATACTAATTCAGAGTAAAACCACAAGATTTTATTTCAAAAGTTCAAAAGCCTCAGCATTTCTAAAAAAAAGCAGAAAAAAGCACTGGAAAGCAGATTGATTAGTGTTCTGACTCAGTATAAACTATTTATACTTTTGTTTGTCCTTAAATGTTGTTAAGGAAGTACGTACAGATATTTGCAGAAGATATTCTATTACCTCAAAATGTATATTTTGTTTCAACAACCGTTTGTAAAGTTGTTCATCTTCAAAGATGTGGTAGCCATGGCCAATTCGTTCTGTCTTAAGAATGTTGACTGCCTATAGTGATATAACGGAGAAAAATATGAAGAAATGACTATTTGCAGATTAGGTCACTTACACCATTGACACATCAATTCTAAAACAACAAAGTTAGGTGGTATTTAATGAATATCTAGCACAAAAAGATTAAATAAAGTACAGTGTAAATACATTTATAGCAATTCAAGAGTACAGTTTAGGAATGAGGATGCCTTAGATTTACATACTACTTTTTTCCCATACTCATTTTTTTCAGACCAAACCTGAATTTCTCTTATACAGGAATTCTCAAATGATAAGAGTTTATACTTCAGACTATAACCTCAAACCATTTTGCATAAACCACTTAAGAGATACACAGCAAAGCTTAAGTAGTTTAAAACTAAGAGAAATCATTAACTGATTTCAAGAAAAGGTCCAACAGTGTAAGTAATGAGATCTCCCTTTATCTGTATAGTAGGGCTTGGGCATTTATAGTGTGCTTTTCCTGTGTAGCAGGATTTTTCTAATTCATATTTAGACAGAAAAGAATTGAGCTACAGTGTTCTGTAAGTGTACACCTCTGCATAACAGAAAATGATGGCAATATCTTACATTGTTTGCAGTTTGATCCTAGAAAATCAGATTGATTTTTTTTTAAATATTTTTTTAACAGAAAGTAGAATAATGGATGGAAATGGAAGGAGATGAGAATGAAGACGTACTACTTAATTAATGATTAAGAAACAGTTTGGGGCAAAGATTGAATTTGTCGGAAAACAAGATGTTTTGCAAAACTATCCTAATTACTGCTGCTATAAATATCACCAGAGTGGTACTTAAATTACCTCTTCTTTCCTTTTACCTCTTTACCTAAAAAAAATTGAAAACAGTCCTCACAGGATTTTATAATTTTCTACATTAGTTCTACCTGGCAGCTTTCCAGATGACACCCAGGTTCTATGTTACAATTTCCTACCTCTTTGATGACTTCGGATGTTCCAACCTCTCCGGCATGAACAGTCCGATGAATACCATATCTTTCAGCTTCCTGATCAACAGGAAATAGAAACCATAATTTGCAATTGTTAAAGAAGACAACACATTTTTGAGGAAGGTATCTGCTATTTCATATTCTGTTGGTGATAAACATGGAATTGCCAAACAAATAAATCCTACTGTTCTTGCTCTTAAAGAGGAAAAAAATGATTATTAAAATGAATGCAAAGCTCAGAATGTTGGTAGTTTCAGCTGAGTTTCACACACAGAGACACATTTCTCTCTATATATGTATGTATGTATGTATGTATGTATGTATGTATGTATGTATGTATGTATACACATATATATGGTATACCAAAAACCAGGCTCCAGAGGCCACTCACATTATTGGGGGGGGGGTTTAGGAAAAAAAATGTTATTGCACTTAGGAATGTTTAAAGATCATGCATTGAACAAGTCAGGAAGTATTTAAAAGAACACAGCAATGAATTCAAATATTTAATGTAATTTCTATAATGAACTTTCTAAGGGGTCAGATTTTTGGGGTGTGTGTGTGTGTGTGTGTGTATTATAGTAACACATTTTATGCATGAATTTTAAAGCCAATTATATTCTTATATATACATATACTGAAGAACATATACCAAGAATAAGATTACTAACAAAAGGCCATGCAAGTACATACTGTATAAAGAAAGACCATTTTTCAAAAATTATCAATTGCTTAATAAGAAGATACATAAAGAAGTTATACTACTGTAGTATTAATACACAGAAAGCTAAGTAATTGTAGTTGAATTACTATTACTATTTTCCAATCATCTGGTACAATATTTCTGAGCTTCTCTGTCATCAATAAGCTAGAAAGATTATTATGAACGATGTCAGTTCATGAAAATATACAGAAGATTGATGCATTATTGCATCCTTCAAGATACTGTTAAAAATATCTTAAGGCAAAATATACACCTCCCATTTTTCACAAATTTTAATTTGCTTACTGAATGTTGGCACTTGATTGAGAACTATGGTTAATTCAAACTAAACAGTTCAATGAAAAATGAGGAAAAATGTTTAATTCAATTAGATATAAAAGCAAGATTTTTGATATAAATCAAAACTTGTTTCTATATCTATTTGTGTGGTCTTGAGTGCTCACTAATGCAATTTAAAGTTCTTCATAAACACAGGCAATTTTCTATTAGAGACATATAAACTATGGGATAGTCACTGGTTTCTCTTTTCCCTGTTCCCCAAACCGAAGAGTAGTAAGGGAAGAGAAAGTAAGCTGGACCTTTTCTTAGCTCAGCTGGAAAACCAACAATTTGAATTGTTTTGAAGGCAAGTGGGATAACAAAACTTGTAACTTTGATTCCATTACAGTTCTATCTCCCTCCTCTATAAATCAAAGCCCATTATGTTTCATAAATGTCGCATCTTTTTAGATTGTAAATACAAGGAAATGGATTCTAAGTGACCTTGGAAGCCTTTCCTGATTAAAAACTAAAAGGATGAAATAGAAATGGTTCAAATAATGAACCATTTGAAATCACAAGAGGGCTTGTGTAGAACAGTTTCTACAGAAGCTTTTCTGAAATGAAGCAGATAGCATTTCCTCAAAGTACTATCCCAGCTTCAGGGTAAAAAAACAGTCATATGTTATTTGTTTCAGTCCCACTGTTAATTTTGAATGCTCACTAAATGAACTGTTGTAAGTCGAGGACTATTTTCCTCACAACAACAACCTTATGAGGTGGATTGGGCTGAGAGTGACTGACCCAGAGTCACCTGGCTGGCTTCCATGGCTAAAGTGGGCCTTGAACTCACAGTCTCCTGCTTCTAAATTTGATAATTCATGGCAGAAAATATCAGCACATTAGAATGAAAAAGATTTATATTTTTAGTACTTTTGGAAACTAATAAATAAAAAATAACATGTAATTCAACTTTTCTCTAGAGGAAATAAACACAGGATACTACATGCCATGAAGGGCAAATTAAAATAGTTTGTGTCAAGGAATGTTTTTGAAAGAATAGCCGTCTCATCCTGAATAATCTTTACTTAGAAGAGACTGGCTAATGATAAGTAGGTTACTTTCACATGTGGGAAAGTAATTTTGAATAAGAAACCTCTACTCCTCCCAGTTCAAAAGATTAGGTTTGTTCCAGGTTCTTAGTGATGATATATGTACTATGGCTATGCAAACTTGGAAAAGGAAGAGAAACCCACTCTTTAAAGATAATGTGACAAAAAAAAACAGTAGAGATTTTTTTCAGGCTCAGCCAAAATCTGGAAAAGAAAGGCTGTTTCAAGGAACAAAAGGAAGGAAAGGCATAAGGATTTCTTCCAATCATTTTTAAACAAACACAACCCTAAAACATTTCAGCAATAGGCATAAATAGAAGGGAAGTCTAAAACAGAGGAGCGACCATATAAATCCTTTCCTCAGAATTTTAACCAGACATGTTTCAATTTGAGGCTGAAACGTTACTTGTAATTGAAATCTGGATATTGTATTCTAGTGTTATACATGGGAAGTAGAAATTTTGATCTGAACATGATTTGGGAACATTAAATGTGAATGAAAAATAAGAGCATGATTGGTCCTGAACCCTTTCTGGGAATCTTAGGCTGATTATCTCTATAAAACTGAACATACTTCATAAGCTTTTCGGTGGTCTGAACAGGCCGCAATAACTGATTCATCTCCAGCTAAGTCTATAGCAACCACTGTATCGTTCCAATACTTCTTACACAGTTCCAGTACTTCTGGCGACCAGCCTGGAAAGAAAAATATAAATAAGGTCATTTTTTTTTTTTACTTTTGGCAGAATCCAAGGTCTTGCTTAAATAAGTAATCATTAATCAAACATGGTTATACATAAATGACACTTTTATTTTGTTGACTTTTCCTTTGACAATTTCTGTGGAGATCAAACAGATGTTGTAAATAGCAGAATAACCACAAAGAATTACAATGTTTAAAATATATTTGTTTATTTCTGGTTAGTTGTTGTCATTTCAGTATGACTGAAACTTCTAGAATCTATGCTACAGTATAAACATATTACAGTTCACTACTTCCTAGAATTTCTAACAAGGTAATTGTTCAAGGAAAGTGCACAATCAAAACCAAGGAGACGGAGATTCAGAATTGTGGCACACTTTTTTGCATGCTGTGCAGATTTGGTGCATAAAAGATAGAGTCAACTATAGTCTATATATCCAAACTTATGCACTGTTGTCAAAGCTTAACCTTTCCTCCACTGAATTTATTAAGGTATGAAGAAGTTTTATATATAATTTTAAAGTAACAAATATTTAAAGATCTTCAATTAAAAATTATTTCACCAATACTTTAAAACAGAAGCTAACAAAATAATATAATAGTTAATTATAAAAGGAAAACTATACAATATTACAGAGAGTAATGCGGCCAATATAAACTACAGACCGTTTATAAATTATTATAAGATTAACTGATAGTGGCTTACTGTACAAATGCAAATCTGTATTCATAGGAGCACATTACTACTAATAATTTTCTGAGTTGGAGGAAATATTCTCTTGAGAAAACATTTCTAGGAATTTTATTACATACTGTTACATAAAAATGCAACTATTTTTACCCAATTGCAGTTCTGAATAACTGGAGCATATGCAGGAGTTATAGCAACAGTCAAATAAGAAAATAATTTGGAGATTCCCTTGACTCTGAGTAATAAGATTTAGTTCATTAAAATTATTCACTCCAATCAATCACTGAAACTTCCTTCTTATAAGCAAGAAAAATAGGAATTTCTTTCTTCAATTAAATAGACGGTATTAATCCTGTTCTGGAATTTCTCATTACATTCTATGTGATATCTCTACGTGGATAGAAATATAGCACACAAAATATCTAGAAATAAAGCTGTATCTAAAAGGCACTTTCAGATTAACAACCTAATGCTGAAAAGGTTAGTGTACCAGTACCAGCAGGATTATCATTGCAATCATTAGACATATTGTATTGAGTTATAGGGGCACAACTAATTTATCAATAAGAACTTTTAAGGATCAATGTCAAGTTCCTTAAAAAATAACCCAATGCTACACAGCAGCACTAAGTAAACTGGCTATATTCCAACACATGCCTTTTGTTCAGACAAGGCCCCCAAATGCATGTGTTTCAACAAATGTGTTTCAGGGAGATCTGTGGGGGGAAAGGCAAGGTCACGGGCAGTGATGTGGAAGAAGAGAAAAGAAATCACTGGGAAGATCAAGGGACAGTCAATTGACCAGCTGGGTATATTACAGCAGTCACATACCTTTGGCCTTTCTAATACATCTTACATCCCAAAGATTTAAGATGTATTGTCACATATGCATTCTCTTTGGTATGAGCATCCTAGAATGAACACATTTAGGGAATTCCTAGAAAATGATATAATATTTGACAGAAAGAAAGAATCCTGATCATTTCTATATAGCTGGCTATATAGACTACCATCACTTAGCCACTGTGCCTAAGATCTAAATTCGGTAGATAGGTAGGTTAGCTAGTTGGATATGCTGTGCTTGGATTACGGGTAGAGATGATAGGCAAGTTATTTATCATTGGCTAAATTTGTCTAGCATAGCACTTTGGGAAAAAGTGATCAGTGGGTGTCTCAGCGCCCAGGAATGTGGAGGTGAGAGAAGCACAAGAGCCTTGCCCTATTCATCCCACAAGATCCCAGCTGAAACCTGGAGCAACTAAGGTGCTTATTTCACTTCAGAGCCATTTGTTTTATTCACAAAATACTTTTACAACATGCATACCTTTTAATGTGGAAACACCCACGAGCAGCTTCCAAATTTATTTATTAAATTTAAATGCTGCCCATCTCATTACCAAGTAATTGTAAGGAGTCCATAATAGTTCCTGAAACTTAAGTGATTTGAATTTGAAACCACACATTGCACTTATCTCTTCTGAATGAGCAGAATTCACAGACAACAACTAGAGAATAATTACAGTCTTCCTAAACATTAATCACACCTTTTATGCTGATTGTCTGATATGATTAGCTATTTTTTTTCAATATTGCATTATGAAATCTTGCTTTAATCTCAACTAGGGATAAATAATATTCTTTGATAAGATACTGTAAATTTGAACAATGTGAGGAGGCAGGAAGATAGAAAAAAAACAGAGAGCAGAACTACCAGTGAACTATGTAATGCATTACTTGGTTTGTTGCGCATGCAGCATAGAATAGACTTGACTTTGATGTTGAAATCCTTTTCTCCATCTTTTAATCCTTGATTAACAAAGCTAACTACTTCATCTGGAGTAAGGTCTCCCCTATGTAAAACAAATAATCAGTATATTATATATTAATTATTATGAAACTGTTTATTAACATTAATATACAATATATATTAATAATCATATTATTACTGTTTATTGGATTGGTTTGTTAATTTAATTATTAGATCATTAGAATATTCACTGTTCCCATCACCATGTCAAACACAGGAAGAAGAGATAAAGAATAGTTCATAATCACAATCCCTCCAAGGTCAAATTTATTTTATCATCCTTTTGTTTATTGACACATTGCTTACACATTTTTGCATTTACTAAATTGTTGTTTTTATAAGTATGGAATTAAAGTTTTATTTAAGCTTTCTTATTATNTATTTATATTTGAATTTATATCCCGCCCTTCTCCCGTAGGACTCAGGGCGGCTGACAATCTATTTAAAATACATACAAAACAATACAAATTTAAAATTAATTAAAAAGAATATTAAATATTTGTCGAATTTAAAATATAATTAAAACCCCCCTAAAAATTACCCTAGGCCAGTCCTGCAAGCTGGAATAACCAAGTCTATTATAGGGCAAATAGTTTATTTTCTACTTGGAGACAGCATTCACATGTCAAATAAGCTAATTAACAAGAAAATATAGCAAGCCAGGCTACCTTTGCAGGAATTTACAACCAACAGGAGCAGTAAATCTTACAGACTCCTTTAACCATTCAAGAAATTTTCCTATAAAACTGGTTTGAAAGCTCAGTTTGCAGTTAGTTGTCAAATAATGCTTCAGTTCCACCTAAACAAGTGTAACCACTGTAAAGTTCTGCAGAAGGATAAGATAACCTTTGTCATTTTTTTACTGTGGGCAAACTGGCACACATTAAAAATGAAATTCTGTTGCTTGCTCTCAAAACTTCTTCCTTTTATATCCTCTCCTCTCTCTTCCCCCTCCTCCTCCTTTTCTCTTCTGGGTGTGCTGGAAGCGCTGATCAACATGTAGCTGCGTGCGCCAAACCCCAGCAGCTCCAGCTGACTCTCTCACCCCAAGGCCTGTCTGCTGCTCTCGGTGATAGCAGAGGCTGCCAGAAGCCCCAGCAACACCGTAGCTCCAGCTGGCTTTCCCACCCCCCAAGATTGCATGCAGCTGCCAGCCACCCCCGGAAGTGCTGGATCAGCTGGATCCTTGTGCACTGATCCTGGGCCCTCAGCAGAGCCCCAATAACACTGCAGCTCCAGCTGACTCTCGCCCAGCCCTGTGCAACGCTGCCCCCACTTCAACTCATTGGCACTGCTGCTGCTTCAGCTCATCCCCCAGCTACACTTATCTAGATTGCGTACCACCTGCCAGGTGCCAAAGTACCCTCAGTGGTACGCCTACCACCGGCTGAAAAGCCCTGCTTTTAGAGTACTAGATTTCAACTGGACAGTAAAGCCACAAAATACATCCCAGTGATTATATTAATAACATATCATCATGCATCAATACATGGAACAACATTTGATAGGTTTTACAGTTAAAAGAAGTTCACAAGATTGGAGCATAAAATGTTTAATCTTAGCATTGCACTGTCTTTATATTTTTTATTTGTCATTCTCTGCAAAATGATAAAACAAATTATATTCCATTTATAGAAATTACAATACTGTTAATCAGAGCTAAGTACTGTTAATCAGAGCTAATCAGAAGAACAAAATAGTAAAGAAATGTCCACTTTTTTAATGAGCAAAGTAATTGTATACTGATCTCTTATATGCTATGAAAATTTAAAAGATATGCAGAGTCAATATACTGTTAACATCACTATTGCATTTCACTGAATGCAAATACAGTATGCCATTAGTCACAAAACTGCACATTCACTGCCATCCAGTAATATTTAATTGTTCCTCTTAGAATACTATAATTTATACCTTTTTATTTGTGTTTCCAGGGATGTGAACTTCAATTCCCAGACCTCTCAGCAACTGCCATGCTAGCTGGGGAATTCTGGGAGATGAAGCACGTTAGGAAGTTGCCAAGACAAGGAAGCACTGTCTTATGCATTTAAACAATTACTCACTTTTTTTGGTTCCATGGGATAGGATCTACTCCACAATTGGCAAGAAGATGAGGGCTGTACCTCACCTCAACATAGATCACACCCTCCTTTGCTTTCATTTCCACAAATTCATAAGCGATTCTTTGTATAGCTTCTCGGTCACCTCTGCAAATAAAAAGGCTTGTTTTATAAAAGGCTAGTTCAGAGTCTGTAAACCATGGATCTTCACAATCATCAGAGGTTCCAGGAGACAAAGTTCTAAATTCTAGCAACATACTATTTACAACTCCAATGTGTACCCAACCAAAACAACAACAACAATAAAAACAATATTCTGGTTGTTCAAAGAAGTTTGGTAGTATATAATAAAGATCATACAAAAAGATCAAGATTCTGATTCAGATCCAATTTCAAAAATGTGATGCAATAAGCTACATTTACAAAATAATGCAGGAAAAAATACTTTCCTTATTTGAACATGAACTAAATAGATTCAATTAAGGGGAAAGTTCAAAATATTTAAATTTCCAGTTAGCTGAAACAGAATCTTTACAGTCCTTTCTGCATCCAAGTCAAATAATTTTCTCTAACACATGTATAGGTCACAACTCACATGTATGTAGAATTCAGTAAAATAGTTTTAATTCTACTTGTGCAAAAGAGCAACACACAAATGTATAATCAGGAATTATTGGCGATATTCCTTGCATCAATTCTGATTTGGAAACAGGACATTTTGTACTTGCCAATGTTCTTATACTATCCATCAAAATCTGTTGCTTATGATTGCGTAAATTTTAAGAATGGCATCCAAAATCTATGAGACTGTTTCAAACTTTTGGGGGGGAAATGAGCCAATAATGTCAGTATTAAAGCAAGCAATGTATGGAATGCCAAGAGGTTTGTGGCCCCAAAAAAATATGCTACTCCTTCTTCCCAGTTTTTAAATACTATGCCTCATCTAAATCATTATTAACATTTATACCCAGTGCTAGTATTAGTTCAAAAATAACAAAATATATGACTTTGAGCTATTTGTATGAGATTCACAGTCATGTGTTTCCTCTTTCATTTCCTTTCTCCCCCCAATTTCTCATCTTAGGTCTGGATTCTCAAAAGGTCATAATTTGTCTATTGTAAACTAGTATTAAAACCTGGGTTTCAGCAAATAGCTGCCCCATACACATGAAACAGACTTTAATTAGCTGAAAATCATGATACAGTTTGTCAGGGACAAAACTGATAAACACAACCCAAAATAACATTATCTGGTGTTCTATCTAATTTGATTCAATACAGACAAACTAGCTTCTATCAAAATGCTACTTCTACCCATTAGTTTTGCCATTCCTTCAGTTTGCTCTTAATCTGTGAACGAATATAACAAAGACTGTTTTTCTTCTTCAACCCCTCCCCAAAATATTGTCTTAAACTTTATAGTCTATGAATGCTAAACTCAACATTAAGAAATAATTACAAATTAAAAGAAATTCAAATTCAAAAAGAAGATTTCAAATGCCACGAAAGCTTCAAATAGAAAATACAAACATATACGGGTCTGACTGAATTTAATTTATTCAACAAAACCTGCACATCCTCACAACTTCCTCTCCAACAGAAATGTATCCTCAAGTAAGCATGGGGAGCACTCTAAATGTTTGAAAGGCTGTCTATCAGGCAAGATGGTGCTCTCAACTTACTGTGGTTTTTAAACTCATCATCCTCAGCCAGCCTGATCAAAGATAAGACTGTGGAGATTAAAGTCCAAATATCTGGAGGACACCAGATTGCCTACTCCTGCTTTATATAAGTGCCAATCCATAATTCGCTATCCATAATTTGTAATCATATCTTCTAGCAAGAATAAAACGTTACAGTATGTACTTTGGAGCCAAGCTTTAATCTGCTACACTAGTATACCTGCTATATGAATCCATTTGTTCCATTTGGATTCTTAAGCCAAGAACCCCATTTGTTGAACATTCACTGCCTACGTTGGAATCAACTGGATGTAGTGACACCTATGAACCTGTGACTCCAATTATCCTTATCCTCAGTCCCATCATCATTTACTGTAGTTTAAAGTTGAAAGACAACAATATCCCTCTGCTTTTCTATAGCAATATAACACAGATAAAAATGCCATGTAAGACAGACTTTTCATGTGGGCAATCCCAGAATTGTTGCGGAGAAAATAGGAGGAGAAAGGAGTTATGTTTGCCACCCTGAGTTATTTATAAAAACAATAAGGATGGGACAAAAAGTAAAAAAAAATCACAAACATATTGGTATAGGAAGGTATTTCTCTAGCAATACAAATTAGGACATTATATACATTAAAGCAAGAAAGTTTGTAAGGAGCAGTATGCAATTTTAAGATTGCACTAATCTCAAGATCACAGCAAGTTGTGCTGATAGCACGTTGTGCTGATCTCAATAAAGCTCTTGTGAAGCCCACATGGCTTCAAGAAGTAGATAATTTTCACATGCCCTTCAAAACTATTCTGCTTACTTGATACTTGATAAGCATAGAGGGTTATAATTTACTAGAGAGTCATGTACACTATTAGTATTCTCTCAATTGAACAATGGCATTGATCTTTAAGCAGCCTTACAAATTAGAGAGAGTGAGTGTGTGTGTGTGTGTGTATGAGAGAGAGAGAGGGAGAGAGAGAAAGAAAGAGAAACAGAGAATGCATAAATGCAAATACATAACACACCCACAAGTACAAACTAATACGGGCAGGTAATAAAAAAGGACAAGCATGACATAACAGATTGCTAACCTAGCAAAATGAATATCAGTTCTAAGATACTGAAAATCTTTTTTTACAATCAGTTAATTGGAACAAATTATTTCACTTACGCAATAGCTGGCATGTACAAAGCAAACTTTTGAAGAAAATGAGTGAGAGTCTCTGGTTCATCATAACTAATTTGTTTTAAAAGGCCGTCTACAGTATCAGCAGGGAGATGTATTCCTCTTTTCCTAGAAATTTAAAAAAAGTTTATATATCAATACTGAAATTAATTTGGGGTTAATTTTGAACAGTCATTTCTGTTTTGAGTGCATGTACTCATAAAGAAACTGAATAGTCAGATAGCCCTGGATAACTGTTATGCAATAAATTTTAATGTATCCTCAGCTAACTTCTAACCTTAAAAAAACAAAATATCCATTAAAAATACATATTTCCTTTCTTGGTGTAACTGTGTTGATAAATGATATTCATGCACATCAGATGTTTCCTGACTCTTATTTCCAATTCTATTATCTTATTTCCTTATGCCATGAAACAATGCCTTAATAAACAAAACCATCTTACTATTAACAAGAATTTCTAACCCAGTCGCCTTGCACAACAGCCTCAATTTCCATTGGAGTAGTAACTTTTTAATTACTGAAGTTATATTATTATGCAACAGCTTCTACTAGGATATAAGCCCTGTTCTTGCTGTTTTCCATTTTCCTAGCACTTTGCCATAATTTTGTGATACAATCTGTTTTATTCATAAATGTCCAGTAGCTTTTAAACAATTTTTCATATCTAGAAGTTTTAAAACAGTCAGATATAGTAGTGGGGTCAGATCCCAAGTTTTTGTATCCTACCCTTTTTCCTAACCTTCAGATTTTTCTATCTTACTGGGGATCAAATATGAGAAAATGATAGAAGAGATTTTTTGATACAATAGGAACCATGATGGTACAACTGTGCTGTCCACTTTTAAGCAGATTATACAGTTGAGTAAATATAATTATGACTACACCATTAATTTACTTCCTGAACTAAAATCTGCTTGTTCTAGAAGAGCTACATGGAATTTTTACTTCCAAATTCATAAATCAAGAACTTTACATAAGAAATGGGATCAAACGTCAAAATGTTTACCTTTTTAAATTTAAACAGAATAATTCAGAAACAGTCTGCAAAAATATTGATTAATGATACAGTACCAATAGCAAAGTACCAATGGCATGGTTATTTTTTTAAAAAAAGAAGATCCAGAGTTGTTAACTTACTTGCCAAAGTATAGAATAGTTTCTGGTTTAATGGCTCCATCCAAGTGGACATGAAGTTCTACCTGCAACAGAGATAAAAAGTTATATAAATCTACTGTAAGTGGCACATTAGCCATCAATGTTCACATCCAGCTGCTTTTTCCCTCCCTTACAACAAATGTGCTCTCCGCCCCTTCATCAAAATGCAAGCTGTTTTAAAATTTGATGAAAATTCAAATAACCCTGTGAAACACAGGAAATTTCAAATTCAAAACAACAACAAAACAACAACAAAACACCCTGACTTACATACACATAAATTGCCTTGCTTTTATTGAGGTGTTCTGAACAGAGGCTCATGACTACTCGTGACTATTTCTTATATGGGAAAAATGATGTGTAACTGAAGATACAATAGTACCTACATTCTGTGAAAGATCTTTGTATCCAATAAAAGATAAAAGTTTTCCCTGTCCAGTTGTGCCTAACTCTAAGAGGAAGTGCTTATTTCTGTTTCCTAGCCAATGGAGCCAGCATTGTCTGAAGGCATTTCCATGGTCATATGATCAGGATGACTATATGCCAAAGTGCACAAAACACTGTTACCTTCTCACCAAAGTGGTACCTATTTATTTATTCACATTTGCGTGTTTTCAAACTGCTATGTGGACAGGAGCTGGGGCAAGTATTGGGAGCTCACCCCATTGTGTGGCACTTGGGTCTGAAACCCGGGTTCTCAGCATTCCAGCTGACAAGCTCAGCATCTTTAACCACTGAGCCACCACAACCCCTTTCTATCCAATATGTCATTTACATTGCATTCTGAATGTCCTGAGGAACTCAAGATATGTGATCCAAGCTTCAGTCATACAATAACCATGTAAAGTACTTGATTACTAGTCAAGAAGATATATCTCTCCCAAACTGATCCTGTAATTGAAGAATTGAAGTACCATATTTTATTATCTGGCATCTTGTACTGATATGAAAATGGCTTTAGTGACATACATTATTGACAAAATGTCTTTTCCCCTCTTTTCATTCCTTTCCCTCTTGCACAGAGTATTTGCAGACTAGACAAAAGATTCTGATGACTATGTAAATAACATCCAATCCAGATGAATTCTTGTTTTCCCATTACAGGTAGTCCTTGACTTACGACTGTTCATTTTACAACAGTTCAAAGTTATGATGGCCTCAGAAAAATTGATTTACCACTTGTCCTCAAAGTTATGACCATTGGAACAGCGTCACTGTTACATTATCACAATTTGGATATTTCACAAGTGGCTTGCATTTACAACTAGTTGCAGCATCCTGCAATCATGATTTGTGACCTTCCCAGATAGTTTCAAAAAGCAACATCAATTGGGGAAGCCAGATTTGCTTAACAACCAATTAATTTACTTAATGATAAGTAATGATAAAAATGGTAGCAGGTCTAGTCATGCAATGACTTGCTTTACAACCACACTGACGTACTATGGAACTTCCAGTCTCAATTATGGTTGTAAGTTGAGGACAACCTGTATTAAGTTATATTAATTTTCCATAAATGGCACCAAGAAGCTTATACAAAGCAGGACTGGTAATGATATAAATGATTTTTCATAACAGTGCCAAAGACATAATAGAATGTGCAGAATTCAGAATTATGAAAGAAGCTTCTGGGAAAAGATCTGTTTCAGTAAGTTTTAGATTAGCATGTACAAATTACAATTTTTGTCATGTGAAAAGAATAAAAAGAATTTCCAAAAATAAAAAGTACATATAGCTAAAAAGAAAAACTATGCAATGGTGTATAAATTGTGTGTAGAGAAAAATGCCTATGACACAAGCAGTACTTTGACATTCCTGGATTGACTGCAACAAATTATAAAAAAAGTAATGCATGTATTGCATTTCATAATAAATGAATGAGACTAAAATATTAAGTGAATAGGAATTTAGGATCATGTTTCTTCTGATCATAAAATAAAAATTTGTACTAGTTACTACCTACCAGCGAATAGGCAGCACTGTAAGCAAATTCTTGAATTTACTAGAATAACATGGAATTATCATTAGGTTTTCCAGCTAGCTGCTAACTTCTTAGTGATAATCAAATGATCTCATATGAATGAGATGTACTTTGAGTTTGTTTTCAGAACTATGACCCAAAATCAACCGGCTAGTGAGACTGCAACTCAGAGTCTCCTGACGTCTAGGCCAGCACCTTAACCACTAGGCCACAATGGCTTTCTTATATACAGATATACAGAAAGTTGATTTACATATAATATATATATATCTTATATATAAACCATGTCTGTTATTTCATACATTATCATAGTATTGAGGAAGCCAAGCCAAATCTATCAAGTAACATAGATGTGTGTGTTGAGAAGAATATCAACCTCGCTGTCAAGCAAAATCAAGCTTTTAATAGTGAGTGCCACACAAAGTGCACTAATCAAGCAGGTGGTAAGAAAATAGGGGAACTTAGGCACCACACAGGTTATGTAGAAAGTAAACGCAGGATTAGTCATAAAGGACTCAAATGTCTATACATCAACGCACAGAGCATGAGCAGCAAACAGGGTGAATTAGAAATTCAGGTAAATGAGGGCAGATATGATATTGTTGCCATTACAGAAACTTGGTGGGATGAAACCCACAAATGGAACACACAGCTAGAGGGATTTAAATTATTTAAAAGAAACAGACCAAATAAAAGAGGAGGTGGAGATGCTCTCTATATAAGAAACAACTATATCTCTACAGAAATAGAGCACAACAATGATGAAAACTGTCTTGAATGCATTTGGGTCAATATAAAAGGGGGGGGGAAATGACATTGCCATAGGTGTATACTATAGGCCACCCAACCAAACAGAGGTAATAGATGAACTTTTTGCTAGTCAATTAACTAAGATATGTAGGAAGCACATCACAATAGTAATGGGGGACTTTAATTACCCTGACATCAAGTGGGAGATAAACTCTGCACCAAGTGGAAGATCAGATTCCTGACAAACCAGCAGACAACTTTGTCTCCCAAAAGGTAGAGAGGGGAACTAGGAAATCAACCATATTGGACTTAATTCTCACTAACAGAGATGAAATGACAGAAGGTGTTGAAACCACAGGAACCTTGTGGGAGGAGTGATCATGCAATATTGGAATTCACCATTATGCAAGCACAAACAATATAACATAGTCAAATTAGAATCTTGGACTTTAAGAGAGCTAATTTCAGCAAACTTAGAACTTGGGAAGGATTCAATGGATGAGAATCCTCAAGGGGAAAACAACTCAAGAAACTTGGGAAATTTTGAAAAGTGAAATTATAAAAGCCAGTCTAGCACAATACCAACGAAGAAGAAAAATAACAGCTCTCAAAAGAAACCAACATGGCTGCATAAAGAACTCTCTGATAAATTGAAAGACAAAAAGGACAAGTATAGAAAGTGGAAAGAGGGGCACATAACTAAGGCAGAATATCAGCAAGTAGCCGGAGCCTGCAAAGATGAAGTGAGGAAAGCTAAGGCTCAAAATAAACTAAGGCTTGCAACAAAAGTAAAAAATAACAAAAATGCTTCTTTCAACATGTAAAAAACAAGAGAAAAGTTAAGGAAACAATTGGTCCATTAGTGGGAGAAAGTGGCAAGAAGGCGACAAGCAACAGGGAGAAAATAGAACTACTCAACTCGTTTTTTGCATTCGTATTTACACAAAGGGAAAAAACAGTCCAACCTATCAAACAGTACTGTAAAAAACAGATTAGAAACATAAGTTCAGATAGGCAAGAAAATGGTGAGCACCTGTCCACCCTAGATGAGTTCAAATCACCAGGACCAGATGGATTACACCCCAAGGTTCTCAAGGAACTGGCAGATGTGATCTCAGAACCACTGAATTATATCTTTCAAAGATCCTGGAGCACTGGGGAACTACCAGAGGACTGGAAAAGAGCTAAAGTAGTTCCTATCTTCAAAAAAGGAAAAAAAATGGATCCAGGAAACTACAGACCTATCAGCCTGACCTCAATACCTGGGAAGAACTTGGAAAAGATAATCAAGCAACGAATCAGTGAACACCTAGAGGCAAACAAAGTCATTACCAAAAGCCAACATGGGTTTGTCAAAAACAGATTATGTCAGACAAATCTTATTGCATTATTTGACCAGGTGACAAAAATTAGTGGATCAGAGGAATGCTGTGGATACAATTTACTTGGACTTCAGTGAGGCATTTGATAAAGTAGACCACAACCTACTACTTGATAAGATAGAAAAATGTGGGTTAGACAGCATCACCACCAGATGGATTCATAGCTGGCTGACTGGCCGTATTCTGTGTGTGGTCCTCAATGGAACTTCCTCTACATGGAGGGAAATGTGTAGTGGGGTACCCCAGGGCTCTGTTCTGGGCCCAGTGCTCTTCAAGATCTTCATTAATTATTTGGATGAGGGGATAGATGGGGAACTCATCAAATTTGCAGATGATACCAAGCTAGCAGGAATAGCCAACACTCCAGAAGATAGGCTTAAGATACAGAAGGACTTGAACATTGGGCGCTATCTAACAAAATGAAATTCAATGGTGAAAAAAGTATGGTTCAAATGCACAGGTATAGTATAGGTGAACCTTGTTCAATAGTAGCAATTGTGAGAGGGATCTTGGAGTCCTAGTGGACAATCACTTAAATATGAGCCAGCAGTGTGCTACTGCTGCTAAAAAAGCCAACACAGTGCTAGGCTGCATTAACAGAAGGACAGGATCAAGATCACGTGAAGTGTTAATACCATTTTACAATGCCTTGGTAAGGCCATACTTGGAATACTGCATCCAGTTTTGGTCACCATGATGTAAAAATATGTTAAAATGCTAGAAAGAGTACCGAGAAGAGCAACAAAGATGATTAGGGGACTGGAAACTAAAACATATAAGGAACGGTTGCTGGAATTGGGTATGCTTCTAGTCTAATGAAGAGAAGGACGAGGGGTGACATGATAGCAGTGTTCCAATATCTCAGGGGCTGCCACAAAGAAGAGGGAGTCAAGCTATTTTCCAAGGCGCCTGAAGGCAGGACAAGAAGCAA